TTGTCTCATTTGAGACTGTATCTTAAAGCAAATTTCGTCTCGCTTGAGACATCATTTTCTCTCATAATACAAATTTCAAGGTTGTTGTACTTAAAGCAAAATTAATATCACTTGAGATTTTCAAAGCTGATTTGTCTCGCACGAGACATTTCCCCTCTTAACAAATCCTGAAATTGTTTCATTTGAAACAAAATGAACGCTTTTGAAAACACCTTTGAGATTATTTCCATATAAACAAAATCGACAATATTTGAATCTTTTAAAACGATTTTTTATCTCTTAAAGACAATTTCTTTTGAAAAAATCTTTGAGTTTTTTCCTCTTGAAAAAATCTTTGAGTTTGTTCCTTTTGAATAAAAATCTTGGAGTTTGTTCCTTTTGAATAAAAATCTTTGAGTTGTTTCGTTTGAAAAAATCTTTGAGTCTATTTATTTTGAAACAAAGTTTTGTCTCTCTTGAGACAATTTTGTGAAAAATCTCTGAGTCTGAAACAAAGTTTTGTCTCTCTTGAGACAATTTTTTTGAAACAAAAATCTTTGAGTTTGTTTCTTTTGAAACAAAATTTTGTCTCTCTTAAGATAATTTCTTTTGAAACAAAAATCTTTGAGTTTGTTTCTTTGGAAGCAAAATTTTGTCTCTCTTAAGATAATTTCTTTTGAAAAAAATCTTTGAATCTGTTTCTCTTAAAATGAATTTTGTATTTCTTGAGACAGTTTCTCTTGAAGTAAATCTTTGAATATGTTCATTTTGAAAATCTTTGAGTTTGTTTCTCTTAACAAAATCATCTTTGAGTCTATTTCTTTAAAAACAAATGTTGTCTCTCTTGAGACAGTTTCTAATTAAAAACTAACTTTTGAGATTGTTTCATTTGAAACAAATTTGGTCTTACTTAAGATGTAATCCATCTTTGAGTCTATTTCTTTTGAAACAAAATTTTATCTCTTAAAGACAATTTCTTTTGAAAAAAATCTTTGAGTTTGTTTCCTTTGAAACAAAATTTGTCTCTCGAGACAACTTCTTTTGAAAATACCCACATTTGAGATCGTTTAGACAATTTCTTTTAAAACTACCCACCTTGGAGATTGTTTTTATTAAAACAAATTTTGACTCCCTTGAGGCAGTTTCTCTAGAAATACAAAATCTTTGAGTTTGTTTCACTTAAAATAAAACCATTTTTGAGTCGTTTCACTTGAAACATTTTCTCTTGAAACATTTTCTCTTAAAACAAGATCATCTTTGAGTTTGTTTCTCTGGAAACAATGTTTTATACCTTAAAACAATTTCTTTTGAAGAAAAATCTTTGAGTCTATTTCTCTGGAAACAAAATTTTGTCTCACTAAGATACCATTTTCTGAAAAACAAAGTTTTGTCTCTTATGACAATGTCTTTTCAAAAAAAAAATCATTGAATCTCTTTCTTTGGAAACAAAATTTTATGTCTCTCGAGACAGTTTCTTTGAGAAAATCTTTGAGTTTGTTTCTTTGGAAACAAAATTTACCATCTTTGAATCTGTTTCCCTTGAAACAAAATAAACATCTTTGAGAACGTTTCCCTTAAAAACAAATTTTGTCTCGTTTGAGACAATTCCCTTTAAATGCCATCTTTGGGTTGTTTCCTTTGAAACGAATTTTGTCTCCCTTGAGATAATTTTTATCAAAATTCAATTTTTGAGTTTGTTTCTACTGAAACACATCTTTGAGTTGGTCTCCCTTGAAACCATTATTCCTAAGATGGCCAGTAGTCCTCATCACATAGGAACCGTGTCATCCCCAGACCAGATCTCCTCATCACGTAGGAGTCGTGTCAACCATGGATAACCAGCCGTCCTCATCACGTAGGAACCGTGTTATCACCTTTAGATGGCCAGAACTCTTCATCACGTATGAGCCGTGCCATTCCCCAGACCAGATCTCCTCATCACGTAGGAGCCGTGTCAACCATAGATAACCAGCCGTCCTCATCACGTAGGAACCGTGTTATCACCTAAAGATGGCCAAGAACTCTTCATCACGTAGGAGAAGTGTCATCCCTCGATCAGATTTCCTCATTATGTAGGAACCTTGTCACTTTTAGACGACCAGAACTCTTCATCATGTATGAGCAGTGTCGTCCCCAACAACCAGTATTATCCAATTTCTATGTATAAATGGAAGAGAACCAGACAAAAACGTGTTGTCTTATCATCTTTGCCCTATTCTTGTTAACACAAGAATGTGCAAAGAGGGGCAGCTGTAGACACCCGTTTTTGTCCGGTTTTTTATCGTTATTTATTATTATTATTATTATTATTTTTATTATATTATTATATTACATTTTACATATTTTGCAGGCCAAAGCCCAATACAACAAGGCCCAACAAGACCCGGTTCAGGCCCAATACTCAAACTAGGCCTGGATTTGGCCCAAGTAATTAGGGTTTCAAAACCCTAAATCATCCAGCCGCCGCCAGCAACAGCAAATGGACAGCCGCGCCGCCGTCACTGTTCCGGCCCACTCCGATGGTCCAGCCGCCGTTCCCACGTCGCCAGTATCATCCACAATGCAAAATATCACCCAAATCAGTCACAAATTAAATCAAATCCAAAACCCATTAAAAATACCTAAATCCCGATAAATCGGAAATTTGTCCCTACCAAGATCAGGGACCCTTATCCCTACGCTAGCATCATCATCATCTCACCAAACGCAGCAAAATGGACCATAAATCAAGTAAAGGTACCAATTTTGAGGGGGGGACATTGGGTTGAAAAAACGGAGAGAGGTGGGATTCGGTTTTCAGAGAAAAATTCCATTCGATTTTCAAAAAAAAAAAAAGAAAGAAAGAAAACTAAGAGAGAAAGAAAAGGGCGAAGCCCTTACCTCGGTTCAAGGTCATTCCAGTGGCTGCCGGAGTCGAAGAAACCGTAGGTTCCGTTGTAGATCTACGGAGTTTGGGCCGTTTTCAGGCCAAACGGATCTCCGATCCATGCTCAGGGTGAAAGGGTGTTTCGAATGATGCCTTCCTCTCTCTTCTCCGACGCCGGTGAACGGCGGTGACCGCCGACGAGAGGCGGCCGGCACGGTGGAGACTCCACCGGTTTCTGGATCTCATCTCTCGGTCTCTCTCTTACTCTCTCTTCTCTGGGGAAAAATGAAACAGATGGCCTGTTTTGGGAGTTATTTGGGCTATTTATAGCTTTTGCAAAACGGCGTCGTTTTGAAGGGACGAATTCTGTAATTTCACGCATGGGGTAACTACACTTTAAGTCCCTTCTCCTTTGTAATGCTCTATTTAAGTCATTTAATGAAATTATTATTGTTTTATTTCGAGCCTTTTAGTTTTTAATGATTGCATTTCAGTCATTAATTATATATTATGTTTGCTGATATTATAATTTGGTTGTGATATTTATATTTATTTCGTTTTAGTCACTGTTTCAGTTTAATGTGTATTTTCCTTTGATATTCGAATTTGGCCCATGAATTTATGATTATTCCATTTTAGTCACTGTTTATTATTTTATTTAATTACTGTTCGGCCCTTTATGTTTCTGTTGATATTTTAATTTGGCCTTAATATTTATGCATGTTACATTTTGGTCACTCTTACAGTTTATGTATTTTGTATTTTGTATACCATGTTCGTATAGTTTATATTTTGGTCACTAGATCTTCTGTTGCTAATTTTTATAAATTTGTACATTGTATTCTGCAGTTATATATATTTTATTTTAGTCCTATTATTAAATGTAATGTTATTATACTCATATTTTACTTTGGCCACAATGTTTGTAGTGGTTTCATTTTAGTCACTGATTTTGTATGTTGTATATTTTGGCTGATGTTCAAATTTGACTCTAAGATTTGTAAATCTGTTTATTTTAGTCACTAGTTTACATTCAGTTTAATTACTATTTTAGTCCCTACGTTTCTGTTTTGCTATTTTAGTCTTTTAATTTTCTATTTTTCTGTTTTAGCCCTTTAATTTATTATTACCATATTAGTCATTGTAATTATTAAATACTTACTTTTTGGCCATTTATATTTTGGGGTGTAACATTCTTTTAATCCCCTATGTATGTACTTTTTTCATGTTATGTATTTATTTGTACCATATGTAATTAAAATATGCTTAATTTTATTTGTTGTAAATATAAATATTTATTTCACATATTTCTATTTCTATTTATTTCCATTTTTCTTTATTTAAATATTGTCCAAATACTTGTAAGTACACGTATGCGTAGAATGAGCGTGGAAAGTATCACTTGGTCGAAGTGGTGCGATCCGATACGGCATTTTAACGACATAGGAACTTGCAACAAGTCGATTATATTTCACTAATTAATTTGTGCAAATGATGCAATGTGTGTTATATTAAATAGTAATTTATTTTATTTTATGTAAATGTCAAATTCAAATTTTTGCATTTGTATTCAATTCACATTTTAGTTAATCAATTTATTTTGTTGTATGCAAACATCAATTTTATTTATATTCGATTCGCATTTTATCAAGAGGGAAATATTCTTTATGAATAAGAAATAGTCGAGTTAGCTTTCCCGATGGAGGATTGCTAATTTCGAGATTTCTTTTCGAGTTAAAGAATTTTCTCTAATTATTTAATTCGAAGCAAATTAATTAATGTTCGATAAATAGATCATATTTTAACTTTATATTCGATTTATAATTTCCACCATTTACAACGATGTGTAAGCGACACAGTACCAATTTTGGGCGTTGTGGGGATGTTTACCCTTCCCCGCACGTAACCGACTCCCGAATCCATTTAAATGAATCTTTGGTAACGCAGACCGAATCTTGTCTTAAAAAATGATTTTTCTTAAAATTGTTTTAAAAGACGTTTTTAGGTATTCAACCTACCTAACCCAAAGGTCGATGGCGACTCTTTTCAATTTTATTCAAATCAATTCAAAATCGCCCAATTTTTCTAAAATAAAGTCATAATCGTTTTTTTAAAATAATATTTAATTGATAAAAAAAAATGGTTATGACAACTCCCTCTTCGCTTCCCACAACTTCTACTACACTGTCCACAACAGCCTCCATTGCCGGAATCCGCCTGCTCCACCATTTCATAGACCTATCCGAACCATATACCTCGGCATATGCAGGCCAATAGGAGGCCCTCAAGTAGCCCTTCCCTTTTCCCCTCACTGCCCATCTCTTCATACCTTCCTCCAACCTATAAACTGCACCTCCCACATCTACCCCTTTTTCAAGGCCAATCTCAATCTCTCTCAACTCTTGCTTTGGACAAACCGCAGCTCCTTCGAACTTGCATCGGCTACATTTGCAGTTGAATCCCCACGACATTGACATTTCCGCACGTTTCTCAAATGGAGAAAGCGTATCGAAATACATGAACGTGATCTCTTCGCCGGCCTTGACATCTCTAGAAGCGTGAACCATAGCATAGTCCCCTACGTGCAAACGTCTCGTATTCGGATTGCACGAATGATTGATGAAGGAAGCCAATATCCATAACCCAACACCATAAAAATCACTGTTTTTCCCTAATACTTTAGCCGAAACAGCCTCTTCCACAAGAGAATTGACATCCAAAATGCTTAAAATCTTATCCATATCGAGCTCCTGGTCCTTTGAACAGCCATTTAACTCAATATCAGGCCTAAAGATACTCATATCAGGGACTTCAAGCTCCACTTCATCTTCACCTGTTGATAGCATATTAATCAAAAGCCGTGTTCTTCGGCATTTTGAGACAGCTTCCTTAACTTTATCTATGAAATTCTTCCACATAACAAGCTGTGCATTTTCAGCTGAATCTTGACCTCCCAAATACCTCTTTCAATCGCAATAGCCTTGGTGACAAAAGCAAAGTCCCGGCATCGATATTCTTTGTAGCAAACAAGCCCCGACCACTAAGCTCAGACCTCTTAACCACAACCGGACCGACATATTCAGCAAGTTCCGGAGGCATTCCTTTGAACCCATTAAGGACCCAATCAGAAAGATCAAAACTTCCCGTCCTAGATTGAAACTCGAGTTTCTTACATTTCTCTAAATACCCATTAACAATATCGAGATTCCCATTACCCTGGGGATCAAAGAGTGCTGCTTTGAAGCAGTCCAAAGCATTTAAATACCTGTTCAGACTAAGTAAGATCTTACCTTTGCAGAACAGAGTCTTGAAATGGGTGGGTTCGATTCGAAGTGCTCCATCACAGTCTTGAAGTGCTCGGGTGAAATCTTGTAGCTTCGACCTTGCCTCGGCTCGATTCGAGAAGGCGATACAGAGAGATTTGTTGAGCTTGGAGAGATGATCTGGGTCTGGGTTGGGATCTTGATGGGTATTGAAAATTCGAGCTTGGCAAAGATCGATTAACTGAGAGTAAAGGTGTATAGAATCTCTCCATTCTTCTCTGAGGAGAAACACGGTGGCTTCTGATCTGAGCTGATGCATTTGCTCTTCGGCGGCAGACATTGCTTATAGTGTATTTTTTTTTCTTCTTCTTTTTTCTCGCTTGTTGGTTTCAAATTTTGGTGAGGTTTATGAATAATATAACGGTCATACTCATTTCTTGTCGACCTTTATTTCTCTTCTTATTTTTAAACCTTTTTAACGGGTTTTTTTTTACAATTGCAACGGCTATATCAGGCTTGTTTATGCAAGTATTTTTGCCAAATCCTCATATTAGTCTCTGTACTCTTCATAAATTGTGAATTTAGTCCTAATACTATAGTGTTCAATTTTAGTCCCTCTTCTTTTCTGATTTTGAACTTTCAATCATGACCTAAATACTATAGAAATAGTATGAATAGGGTCTTAAAATGGTCAATTTAGATACCATAAACTAATAATAGAATTGAATTTGATAAATTTAATTGTTATTGTTCGAGGACCAAAATTTTAAAATTTGAAAAGTACAAGACTAATAATGATCATATTAGAGTACACGGATTACACCTGTAACTTAAATATAGTATAGGACTAATAGAAGAATATAGTATAGGACTAAATCCCAAATTTCTGCATTATAAATTACTATTTACACAATAGAACAAATTTACTTTAAATTAGGAGTTAAAAAGACTAATAAACGGATACTAATAACAACATTAGTCGCTCAGGCCTCAACAGTTCCTCTAAATACAGTAGATCCCTCAACCAGGGTTCCAACCATTTAGAGAAGTATCATCCACACAGACGACCAGTCTTGAGAACAACCCGAAATTACATCCAGCCTTACTTGCATAAATGTTGTCGGAACTCGAAAGTAGGCGATTCTAGAGCAGGACTAGCTTTAACAGACATACTTTTGGAATCTACATAAAGAAAAAGCAACCAACACGATACAAATCGGAAAAGCATCTCATAATATTTGTTTAATGTGTATTGAATACTTACCGGCGCTGCCTGTTAAATGCTCAGTAGTTGATGGCCAAAGAATATAGCAGCTAATTACTTCTTCCAGAAGTACATTCCATCTCTGAGCTCTAATTTCTCTTCAGAAACTAGACCTGATAAGAAGCTTTGCAGCTGTTGGAGGGATTTATCATACGGAGGGTCTGCTACACAAAACATCTAATAGCAACATGATGCCTTAGTTAGCAATTATGTTACTCAATTATGTTACTAGTATTTAATTTGAAGTGTGGGGCATTGCAAAAATCATCTTACCTTAAGAGTATTATGAATTCGATCTAATGCCATGCTACCAAATTTGTGAGCATACCCAAGATGAATTTCTACAACGGTCCAAAGTTTGGTTAGGGAGCACCATTAAGCAAAATGACACGTCGAAAATAAATCGTAAGCATCACATGCCTCAAATACAGTCATTTCTTTACTTAGTTGATCCTCAACAATAGCCACAGATCTGTCTGCCTCCTCCTCGCCAGCTAAAAGCTCCTCGCAGTTTCCAGTATTACCACTGTTCTTACTAGCATCAATCATGCCTTCGACTAGGGTAAACACATGGTTGCTAGGATCTGTTCCTGGTGATTCAGTAAGAACTCCTGGATGGAGGATTAGTAAGGACAATAATTTTGTAAATGGACTTCAATTTCGAATGATTCTCCTTTTGATTACCAGACGATTCCAAATTTCTACCTACTTGAAACTTTTAGCTTGTACTTGCAAGGGAAAATACCAAGAAATTTGAACTGGCAACAAATCAATATATGTACTTGAACTTGAGAACAAGTAACAAAAAAGCTTTCAACTGGACTGTGAAGGAATAATTGTGTCAACTTCCAAATAATGTTACAAAGTACAACTACAAAGGGAAATGTACGCTGTTACCTATATCTTTGAGTGGCAAATACATTTTTGCATTACAATGGAATAACACATTGAAAATCAAGGGGCAGCCTCAGGCTATTAAGTGGCAAAAGGAATTTCATGATTTTGAACAGGAACGATCTTTGATATGGAAGGACATGAATTGTTTAAACATACCTTACTTATCCAAGAACTTATTCTCCTATTCAGCACATCAACAGGGATCCCTATAGCAGCAGCAAGATTCTTAGAGGTCAAACTGAAAGTGAATAATAACATACCATTGTTACGCGGACAAAAGGATGCAAAGTAAAAAGATTGCTGAAAGTACCTCGTTTGGTCCTCAAATTGCATTATTATTGCTGCGTGTACAAGAACAACTGTAATTGCATTGCCTTATCCTCAAATTGCAATTCCAACTAGAACAGTTACATTGGTATAAGCATAAATGTTAGTTAAGTGATATAAAAAGGAGGAAAAGAAAATTGATAATGCAATAAGAGTAATTGATACTAAAATGGACATTCATTGGCATTCACAAATTATTGAAAGACCTAACCTTGACTGTTCCAAGATTTTTCTTCCAAAGTAGTTTTCTAGGAGTCTTGATTTCATGAAACCTTCTTGCATAATCAGAGAGCAGTTGGTCAATGGAACCAGGAACGATGAGGGCCTCTTCCTGAAAAAATTCAGAACGTTAATGAAAAGAATGACCAAAAAGATAATGAGAAATGCTAGATTACTTAACAAAACTGGATTTTGGTCAGTTACATAAGCATGGGAAACAAGGAATCTACAAGCTTGTTGGACACCGACAATATTCTAGACTTTTTTTGACTTAATTGGATAGACACCGTCCTGAACAAGTTTCTCTTGCATATTTTTACACAGTCAATAAAATTATTTCCCATTTCAGGAAGCTGTCAAGTTATGTATTCTTCACAGATATGGTCCGTATGAAAAACAAAGGTGGAATGAAAAAGGAAAGGAGGAAAAAAATGAAACAAAAGATGGCATGACAGATTACACCTTAAGAAGATTGATTAAAATTTAATTCTCTGAATTTCTTTTGATTGATTCCCTCGGCTGTTTTTTGCTGGTGCTCTTCTTAACGTCTTTTACTTTTCTCAAGAGCATGAATTGAATTAAATTGAATGAATCCAATTAAATCGAATTATATATAGGGGACCAATAGCAAAAAGTAAAAGCACCAATCAGACTATCATGTATTAGGCTATTAGCTCTTCCTCTGATCAAATAATATCTTCACCAAAAGAGCACTTTGGCTCTGGCAAATAATAAACTTAAACCCGAATGGAAAAAAGGGAAAACAAATATCTTAAATGTTATTTTGAGAATTTTTAAACCTTTTCCTACCACCAATAACAAAGTGCAAAGTAAATTTTTAAAAAGAACCGATATCAAAGAAGTGCATGCCTGGATTGGAGTCCAGAAATTCGAAGATATGATTGTAGCATCAAGATTTTCCAAGGACATCCCAGCCGCTGCTGACTCTGGATCTTATGGTTTCAACAAAAGTTAAACAGATCGGATTAGATGGTAGAATAAGTAGCACCCGAGCTATCCATCTCTAAAAGTTCTACAAAGCCAGGGAATACCTATTTGAGATGTTTTATTAATGGTTGCTTTAATGTTGGTATTGTCCTTTTGGAATCAATGAAATCATTAAGCATGATTTCACACTTCTGCATGCTACTCTCTCCAAAATGTATCTGGAAAAAAATGCAAAGAAAGAGTTTTAAAAGAGATATTGAACAGGGGAAAATAGAATAGAATGAGTACAATAACAACTTTGAGGAGTTCTACAGTCCGTATCTCCGAGTCAATGTCATAATCCAATTTGTTCAGAAGTTTTTCAGCAAGCATAACACGGTATCGTTAACAAGTTGGTCCTTTGAACCAATTATGCCAACAATCATTCCAAGTATGTCGACCTTCCTTCTATTTCGACTACCTTTTAATGGGTCAGTCTCAACAGGGTCAGCCTCCCAACTGAACAAGAAAGAACTCACAGAGTCGCAGGTCAACATGACAACTTTGACTGCACAGCTTATATACACGTAAATTATCGTTGTCAATAACAGCTATAGAAGTAAACATATCGTTTTGCATCAATCCAAGCTTGCTTGTCATCTGTATTAAAATCATCGTCGATCACAACATTTTCTTGATTTTCTTCCTCTCTATTTAATTCCTCAAGAAGGCTATCCCTACTGTTTCCATATCCATTTGGATTACCATTAGTGCCATCGGTAAGCATGGTTACAATGCACTTTATGGTGTCTTTTCTTCCCCTCAAGTAGTGTCTTATAGGTTCACCAAGCTTCAAGGAAAAAACCAGCTGGATCTATGGTCCGGAGTGCTTTGATTGTTGAAACATATTGATGTAATATGTCATTGGTTGAGGCACCCGCAGTAAGTAAGCGGTATCTTAGTGCAGAAAGAAAAGATTCGACCAGCTTAGAGTACTGTCCAGCATATTCAAGACATTGTTTTAAATCTTCAATTGCAGGAGAACTGTAGTAGTCAGGAAGAATTAATCAGTGAGGAATTTCCATGAATACTTTTTATTGCATCACCAACATCCATTCAAACAAGGAACTCAAAAAACAAAGCCAGTACCATAAAATATAGTTAATTCCATCTGTCTTCTTTCGCCCCACACTCAGAGGGAGGAGAAAGGATGGGGGAGGACAACCCCACCAGGGGAAATTTTTTTTGAGAATGTCGCAGCAAATCAATGCAGAAATTTCTTTTTACCCCCCCCCCCCTTTTGTGCAAAAGGATTTTGAGCTACATAACAAGAAGAAACTGTCCCTCTGTCATAACCCCACCCTTCCCTCAAAGCCAACACTATAACTTTCTTGGAAAGAGAACTATTCAAACTCATCAAGATTCACCTCGGGAGAAATTTGAACTGCAGGAACAATGAAAGTTGAATGGAGAAAGTGTTACCTCTCAGGATAGTCAACGATAATCTCAAACAATTTGGCGATCCTTAAATCTTGCAATGTTTCATAAGCAAAATACTCTAGCCGCAATTTCCATCTAATGAGTCCTTCTAATGGAGTATTTGTTCCAAAATGGCATGAAGATGGTTGTGAAGCCAGAGGTGATTTGGAACCCGATGAATGTTGGTCAAAACTAATAGAATCACCAAGATAGGCAAGCAATGCATTCAAGAATTGCAGAGGAACAACCTGTGCAATTAGCCAAATGTAAAGAATAATCTCTCAGTAA